ATATGACCGGGGCTATAATTAAGTTTTTGTAGGATTTGGTGACGAGGATCAGGTAGGAGTTTTCACTTTATATTTAACTACACGTGGCGCCACATAGTCTGGCGTTCAAATGTCGCAGCGAGTTACGCACGAGCTACGCAATGTGACGTCGGCCTTAAATGGAGCGAAATTGAATCACGTTGTTGACGTCACGTTCAGCGTAAGCACCGTAACGTCGATATTTTGACGAAATTTTTAAATCAAAATAATATATTTTACTTGAATCTCGTACGACATCTCGTGATCACTGTAATTTTCCTTGTACATTGTGTATGCCCTCTAGCGATTGACGGTCTTTTAGTGAAGTTAGCGTCGATAGAAGTCGCTATTTTAGCCGCTCAAAAGCGAGGTGTCAATTTTTGGCAAAAAGGTGATTTTTTGTGTCAAAAAATAAATCCTATCAGGCGACTGAATATGATAAGAGATTAAGATATATAAGGACTCTCTATAGAAACTGCCAGAAGCAGAATATGACGTAATTTAGTCGAGATATAAACGATTGAAAATTTCATCCGAAGTTATAAACCATCCGAAGTTACCTGCGTTTACGGTACTGTCCAAATTATCAACTTGGCAAGTGAATTTGTTAGAAAAATATTTTATATCTGACATAACAGATGAAAACAAAAAGGGATATAACACACAAGAGCCGTCAGCTTCCGTTTTTGTACCGGCACCGGTACCGGTACCAGGAAATGAAAAGTTATCATCAAGTACCGGTACCGCTAATTAATTCCATGCTGACGCTTGATATTTGGTCTCAAGATTGAAGGTATAATATTTTAATAGGCCTAGTTCTAGATAAAATATATAAAATATTTGTTACTGCAAGAAGGTTTACAACTTGCAGACATACCGTAGGTTGTGGTACAGAATATGGGTCTGGTACCGTATAGTTTAGTACCGTAAAAGCAGGTAACTTCGGATGGTTTATAACTTCGGATGAAATTTTTAATCGTTCTTATCTCGACTAATTTGCGTCATATTGTGCTTATGACAGTTTCTATAGCGAGGAATTATATATCTAAATCTGTTATCATATTCAATTGCGCAGTTTAATTTATTTTATGATTAAAAAAATCATGTTTTAGCATAAAATTGACACTCCGTTTTCGAGCGGCTCAAATCGTGATTTCTACTGATGCTAACTTCGTCAAAATAGCATCATTCGACAGAGGGCGTTATCAATGTATATAGAAAATTAGACTGATCGCGAGATGGCGTATGAGACCCGATAAAAAATTAAAATTTGAATAATTTTTTTTATCACAATAATAGCATCCGACGCAAACGTTGAACTTGACGTCACCCTAACGTCGCTCACTTCGAGGACGACGTCACGTTGCGTCGCCGTTACAGGTTTGACGCCAGACATTCGGGCGCCAACGAGTTGGCGTAGATTTGAAAATAACAACGATATTTTGTTCGATTGATCAATATCGGCAAAATATACGCATCAACCATTTTCTGTGGATCGTAAATTCATGGCGTCAAATGCTGGAGATGTAATTCAATTAAATTTATTAAAAATGGCAATTAATGAAAAGCATATCCATTCGATTTGACGATTTCAAATTTCTCCATTTGGTACGGCAACATGGTTCAAAATAGAAAAATTGTGAGCAGTCGAGAAATATTGCGTAAATATAAAAATATATAACCAGCGATAAATAACAACAATCATTGCTGCAAGTGAGTTCCGTTTTGTGAATTTAACGAAAGTAATTTTAATAAAGTTGCCAATTGCCAAATCGGTGTTTTGTCGTGATTTATGCACGGCCGACATTTAAATAGGTCAATTTAATAAAGAGTGCTGTCATGTGCATGCTCAATAATATATATTGTGCGACTATACATGGTGTGACTGTGGAGTGTAAAAAACGCTATCAAAACAGCATCGGCTATAACTAAATCGACTATGACCGGTGAATATTCGGATCTAATGTTACGATAAGAGAAAATAAAACGAGACATTTTAGTATAAAATCAACTTAAAAGTGCCGTGCCGGAAATCCCACGGTCGACATTATCATCGTCGCTCGCGACGGGGATTGAACATCTGGCATTTACGCAACGACGTAAAGCGTGTTTTGTCCTCACGCACGCACTTTTCGCTCTAGTTGCGGTGATGCAGGGAGGGGATACACCCATCCGAAGTTAGATATTTATTTGCGTCGTTACAGATCACAGAAAATGAGACAATTAAGACAGAAAAAATGATCCGATCATCGAGAAAATTATATGTAGATGCAGAGAATTACATCAATGTAATATATTTCAAGTTTGAGGCGAATCGGACAACAAACGGCAGAGTTATTGATTAAAATATAGTGAAATCATCCGAAGTTAGCTGCTTTTACGGTACCACTTCTAGTTGACCTGGCTCAACAATTTTTGCATATGTCAATCCTATTCCTAACCACCACCTGACTACGTCACCGATAAATTACGCCATTGGCAATCCTTATGACGTGATGTTGACGTCATAGTCCAGACTGGATTCCATGGCAGATGCACGCCCGAGGGCGCTAGCAATTTGCAATTGCTCACCAATGTAAATCGGTTTAAATAGTTTTTAAATCAATAATCTAGTAATATAAAGATGCCAAAAAATTATAACTTTACAATTGTCGACTAATACTTGCTTGCAAGATTTGGCCTGATCGAAAAATGCGAAGCAAAAATCACCATATCGTGTTGAATGATAGGAATCCCGTGAGAAAAATCGCCTCACCGACGCTGGCCAGTTATGGCTCTGATTCAGCGTATTTTTAATACAATAATTTTACACGGATGTACTGAACAGTACCGGTATCTAAAGTCGCACAAACACTCTCAAAATTAGTGACAAAATATAGAAATGATGTTTTGGGGGTCAAAGGTCAAACGTCCATTTTTGCTATGATCCAACTTATTTTTACACGGATGTATTGAGAGGTATCTTAGTTCGAAATCAGTTTAGCGGGCGCAGTTGTTTTGCACGCCGTGAGCTATAATTGCACGCCAGAAATTCTTATCTGCACGCGGGAATTTCTGATTGCACGCCCGATTTCTCGTTCGAAAAGGCCATGAAATCCAGACTGGGTCATAGTGACGTAATTTTTGGATGGCATAGTCAGGTGGGGGAATAGCATATGCAAAATTCGTTATGCTACGCCCACCGAAAGTACTTGTGGTACTAAACTAGACTCGGCGGCGCAGATGTCATTTCGGGCGATTGTAATTATACTTTGGCAATCCCTATGACGTGATGGAGACGTCATAGTGACGTAATTTTTGGATGGCATAGTCAGGTGGGGGTTAGGAATACCATATGCAAAATTCGTTATGCTTCGCCCACCGGAAGTACTTGTGGTACTAAACTATACTAGACCCCAGAATATTATGGAAATACAGTTTGTTTTTCGCCAAATCTAAATAACAATTTTTATTGAATTGTATACCAATCTGAATCTCATGAGGTGGGTTGCCAACCGTCCTTTATTTCAAAGGACAATCCTTTAATTAAGCTTTTTGGTCCTTCAGCGTTTAGAAAAGATGCTAATTGTCCTTTATTCTTTCCAGCGTCGTTTTGCCCGATAGTTATAGTACTGTGTTTGATATTGTTCCGTTCTTGAAAAATTGCCTCCGTTTATATATTTGCAAGCTTTTAATTATTCTTTTTAATTTCGATTTGGTCCGGCTCAAATAGCCAACGAAATAACAATTTTATTAACATTGTTTGGGTCAATGTTAAATAAAAATTAAATAAAAAACACATGAAGATTGTTTTGATATATCTTTTTAGCTTGTATATAATTTTTATTATATTGTTTTATATTGTTCTTTCTTGCAAGTTACAAAATAAATGATGATGGTAATCTATGTCCTTTATTGAAACTTTTCATAGTTGGCAACCCTAGATGAGCAGAAAAATATGTCCGATGGACAAGCCTGGTTTTTGGATAGTATGGATCAAATGTGCATGAAATGTAAAACTTATTTGGTACTTGAAGATTTGTCGTAATTTAATGTTGATACTGTAATAAAATCAATATTTCTTTTCAATGGGCTGTGATTTGTATCAATTAAAGTGATTGTGTCGGGAGTTTGAAAACAAGAAGTTTAAGATATATTTCTTATCATTATTCTCTCCATTTCAGGACTATGGAGGTTTCCTAAACTGCTTTCAACTCAGCCTGGAGCACATATTAAAAAAAATTTGATTGAAATGAATAAAGTTGCTGGACACGGACTCTACTCTAGTCTTGGGTATGAAAGATGTTTTATATCAAGATTTCTAACTCTTGTTTTCACTCTTCGTATTTGTGACATTCCAAGACAAACACTTGAAACTAAATAATTGATGCAATGAAAACAAAATAAGATTTAAATGGTTTAAAGTAAATTTGTCCAAAATGTCCTGGCTGAAACAACTAAATCAATCGGATCAATAACCTTGCAATTAATATGAATTTCTTTCTTTTCTCCCATTTTAGGTTCTGTACTGTTATTGTCCAATCTTACATTTCCTATTCTAATCTATCATAGTTGGGTCTGATTCAGGATATTGAAATTTTGAATATGAAAACCTTGCATTCATATACTTTTTTTGTGGTTCTATCATATTATTGGCCCACCAGTGAGCTAATCCTAAGTAAGGATTAGTTAGATAAGGCAATAGCAAGACATTACACACTTCCGTAATGGACTGGGTCGAACCTCTAGATCAGCTCTAATCAGCCTAGTATCAAGCGAATGTTTCATGGGTGCTTGTCTATTGTCTTGCTTAGAAATCAGAAATAAAAACCTTGATCAAATCAAAAGTTTTTGCATTCTGCATGAAATAAATTGCAGGTACTCCTGTAGTATGTTCTGGTGTCCGCCATCTTGGTTCGCATACTACAGGAGTACCAAATTGCACTGTAAATAAATTGCGTAAAATCTCATATGGTAAATAAATTTGCATTTTTAATTTCAAGGTAGCAAGAATATATTTCGATCCGATTTCTCCAACATGAAAACGATGAATTGTGACAAAGTTTGATCGACCACCAGAACGCATTGGAACTTATCATGGCCAAGCAAAGACAGCAGATGATGAAGTTTACCGAGTACCAAAAGTATCAACATTTTTCAAAAACCCAAGGTTAGGAAAGTTAATTGTTTTACTAATTTTTTTTAAAGGTTTAAAATATCATGTATCTAAAGCAAATAAGAAAACTTGCTAACTAATCCCATATTATGTAATGTTGATATGTAAATTAGCTTTAATATACCGTATATGCTCGTTTTACCGCCCGATCTTGATTGAGGGCCCATTTGAATAGCCGCCCTTGTGAACAAACATAAAAATAAATGAGGGCCGGTGCTTGAATACCCGCCCGATGTAAAAGCTGATTTTTCAGTGGTAAAGAACAACAGGAAATGGGAAGCGCTTTTGTCACAACGCTGTTAAATTTGAAGCGCTGGTAGATAATACTCACGCATTAGGCGTCCAATTACATAACGGCGTGGTTCTCAAACTGGGCAAAACTTTTCTTCTTTTGCGGATTCATACCAGGGGTGCGTAGTAAAAGTCAAAAATTGCGTTATTCCCATTTAAGTCATCAAGCGCCCGTGCCTTAATAAGGGCTGGTTTGAATAAGGGCCTGGTTAGTGAGTTTTGTTAAAAAAATATGGGCCCGGGCTACAAAACAAGCAAATACGGTATTCTTATTGTTGTGCACAAGTCACACTCCAGCTTTTTCTACACTTCAAGTAGTTTATAATGTCATAATCGAATCAGTATTATAGTAATGATAAAGAGTTCCGCACCAAATTCAGAAAATTCCACCTTGGTTGGGAAAAGTGGCTCCATAGTATTTTGAATTATTTTAAACTTCTCAGGGCCCTGGATACACAATAGTTAACTAATGATTTTGAATCTTATTTTCTGGTTAGATTTTTTTTTAAATATTTTAAAGGCACAGATCATAAAAATAGTGTCCACGTAATGCTGTCCTCGTCAAATTAGAAATATTTTTAACATTCAACTGTATGTATGTGGGCAACACTGTAACAGTCGAAAAACTTAATCAGTGCTTTCTAACATACAACAATACATTTTAACTTTCAAAAGATTAGTCTTTTATTTTCATCTATTATCCCAGGATCATGACAGTGCTGCTGAAAGTCTTGCCAAACAGGCTTCAACTCTCACGAAAGAGATGGAAGCAAGAAACACATGTCAAGAAAATTTGATTGAACTGAACAAAGTTGCTGGACACAGACCAAGGTCTACTTTAGTCTTAGGTACGACAAATTTTTAACAAGAACCAGTACTAGCTTTGCTCATGTTTTTAATGTGATATTTATTCTTATTATCTTTACTTGCCTGTATGATATTTCCGGACGTAAATTGATCGTTTCCTATTTTGTACCAAACTCTGCATGAACAGAAAAATTCAATTTGAAATTAATTAAGAACTAGTCTAAAATTAGTGGTTATTTTAGATCAAGGGTGCGCAATAGGCAGCCCGCGGGCCACAACCCGGCCCACCAAGCCATTCAGTGTGGCCCTTGTCAACGCTCGGATTCTCCCCATCAAGCATAAAATCTGAATCCAACAGTTTATGTTCAAAAAAACGCTCATGTGGATAAAAATACATCTTTTCGCTGCCTCAAATCTTTGCTGTTATGCCGGTGCCTTTAATACTGTAAGGCTGAGCAACGGCCATATTATATTCTCTTTAAACTAATTTTTTGTGTGGCCCGGCTAACTGTATGAAGTTGGGTATATGGCCAACCGACAAACAATGTTGCAGGCCTTTGCTTTAAACGGTATAGGTTTTGAAGAAAAAAATATAAATATTGATCCAAAAATGTAAATAATAATCAAATGTAAATCTCAAATAATAGTTCCGATGAAAATTATGTTTGCCAAATTCCTATTTTTATCTTCAAGGTATTCAGCAAGAAAATAATGCAATTCGGTCCCTACAACATGAGAACGATGAATTGCGACAAAGTTTGACCGAACACCAGAACGCATTGGAACTTATCATGGCCAAGTACAGACAGCAGATGATGAAGTTTACTAAGCACCAAAAGTATGTGGATCTTGTCAATGTATTTCATAATCTCAGGGAGAGGAAAGTCTATTGTTTTACTATAACATGGCTGTATTATTACTAATAAACTTTCAATTGATGTTTCAATCATTCAGAATACCTTATGGTTCTAATACGAACAATCCTATTTCCCGTAGAAATGGCAAATTAGGGTTTTTATCCTAGGCTTTTGGCCAGTTCAGTACAGCGGCTCCACAAGTTTACATTCAAATGCGAGAGTCTGTATAAAATATATACAGGGTGTCCATAAAGTCCTTTTACAATTTCAATTTTGTTATGAAGGGAGTTGATCTCAACCAGGTTTGTTGTTTTATAACCAGTAATTAGTTAAGTTTTTTTACTCCCATTTATCACATCTGTGAGGGCCAATACAATATATGGTATCGATAAATTTTCTTCCAATTTTAAAAAATTTCACGACTTTATGGACACCCTATATATTGTTTGAATAATATCGAATACTTGTACTTGTATTTAGTACAAAATATACTTTTTATTAGGTTTAACATTATTATCAGACCTGCTACACTTTAAATTTCGCTATGTTTTGCAAGTATTAGTGTTAAGTATTGTACTGGGGTACCTTGAGCCTATGGAATGTTCCAATGGGGTTCCACCCCACCAAAAAGGTTGAGAACCAGTGGATTAGTCATATTGGAGCGACAATTCTCAAAGCTAAGAACAACACATTATAGCATGGGGTGTGCAACCTTTAATACAGGAGGTCCAGATAGAAATAACTGGGCGAACCCTGTTACGGCATTGTAAAGTTATAGGCATGTATGAACTAGACTCGGGTATTGGCTTCGCAACGCACAGGGATTGGAATTACTCACCCGTACCAAGTTAAATTTAATTGAAAACTGCTTTCGTGGTCTGTACACCATTCAAAATTGCCCTCTTGTGGGCCGCATTTGGCCCATGGGCCAGTCGCAGGTTGCGCACCCCTGCATTATAGTATTTGTAAATTAATATTAAAAATCCAGAGCCGTATAGCGGAATAATATTCACAAAGAATAATTACTAAGTTTTACTTGGATTCAAATATTTCAACAAAATCAATGAACCATGGCTTGACAGCATTTATAATTTATTTATATCTTTCGTTTTTAGCATCCAGATCACTGAAAATGCTTATCAAGCAGAAAAACAATATCAAGAAGAGAATATGGAGCTCATTGATAAGGTATTGAGACCAAGGTTATTCTAGTCCACAAATATGTTGTAGTGCTTGGTTATGCCATCCCACAATATTGGTTACCCTGGCCCACAATGCTGGTCCCACGTTTCAGTTTAGTTGGCCACAAATTTGATTCTGGGGATTAGTTTTGATGTCATCAAAGAACATGTTATTATTCCCATAACTAACCTTATTAGGTATACCCTGCTAAAAGTCTTGTTATCGCTGTGAATATATGCACAATTAACCCTCTGACCACCACAAAATTGTGGAATGGCAAACTGTAGGAGTAACCTTGGTGGTGTTGAACATTTATATATACAACCTTATAGTAGAAACAGTGTGTACCAATATGGAGGTAACTAATTTTGTTTGCCTACTTTACATCATGTTGTATAAAGAGACTGAAATTTATGGTCAGAGGTAGGGTCGTCATCGGCCTGCCGATATATCGACCCTGTTTTTCACAAATTTCGAAAGATCGGTATCCGCTAATTTTACCGATTTATATCGGCCAATCATGTGACTGCCAAAGTGTCAAAATTACGTCGGAATACAGTTTTATCGTTATCCCTCAATTATGTCGTAGTGCTTGACAGCTTGGTTACCCCACAATTTCAGTTACCCTGGCCCACAATTCTGGTCCCTTGTTTCCGTTTAGTGCAAATTTGATTATGGGTATTGGTTTTGATGTAAAACTAAAAGAACATGTTATTAGTCCCACAACTAAATTCGTTAGGTATATCCTCCGTAATTGCTGTAAATATATGCACGATTAACCCTCTGACTTCCACAAAATGGCAATTTGTGGGAGTAACCTTGCGTAACATTGAGCATTTTTCTGTATAATCTCATAGTAGAAATAGTGTGTACCAATATGGAGGTGACTAATTTTGTTCGCCTATTTTACATCAAGTTGTGTAAAGAGACTGAAACCTATGGGCAGGGGGTATATTCACTTGGCTAACACAGACAGTCCCCCAACTCGTAATAGAACTAAAATAAGGAAAATCGGAATTATGGCCTAACCCTAACCTGGTACACACACTACGGGAGTATCAAAATGAGCATCCTGATTAATTAAGTTCAGTTTATTATATATTTGCCACTGATATCCAACAATATGTAATGGGCTACTATTGTTGGAAGGACTGGAACCTTTCTTACTCGGCATTCTGTCATTAGTAATGCTGGAGGTTTGACAATATTTATTCAAGCAATATACCTCATCCACATGGTGGCGCCAAAGGTTCAAGTTATTCCAAAACAAAAAAGGTGGCAGTTTTATCTTAAAAGACAATAAATTATCTTTCCCTGTTTCAGATCCACGGAATGGCTGCTGTGATGAGGCATGCTGCGGATGTTGATGATGAGCAATATCTCAGAGATTACGAAGAATTATCCCGATTGGAAACAGAAAATGACATTTTAGGGGGAAATGCTGATGATATCTAAGAGTTCATTTAGATCAAGACCCATAACCACTGAACAGAAAGATTCTGGAAAGGCTGAAAAACCAGAGAATGAATCTGAAATGGTGCTCACTGACGATACTACTACAACAGTTATACACGAGGGGGAATCCCCCTAAGACTACTCCCCAGACAATTATTATATCACAATAGGGAGGAAGTTTATGTTCCTTCAAAGGGTACTCTCGTAGTATGTGTACCAGGTTCATAATTTCATTCAGATTTTCATTATTTTAGTTCTATTACGAGTTTGGGGACTGTCTATGTTAGCCAAGTGGGTATAACCCCTGCCCATAGGTTTCAGTCCCTTTTCACAACTTGATGTAATGTAGGCAAACAAAATTATTCTCCTCCATATTGGTACACATACTTCTGGAGCATCCCTTACTCTTGTTATTCCTTGTGTTTCTATCGAAACTCAGTACTGAGAAAATATATCTGGTTCATACAAAGTACTCTGCACAAGGCTGTAGACTGTCCAGGGGTTCTGCAGGTTAGCATTGAAATCCTGTAGCCTATATCAGGGCTACTCAACTGGCGGTCCGAATCCGACCCTTTCGGGTATTCGATTCAGACCGCGCATAATTCTTCATTTTGGATCATTAGCCCCACTTTTGAAGTTTCCTTTTATAAAATAACTTTTATAGATTTAAAAATATATATAAAAAGAACTATAACACCATAACAAACAATCTTGATTAGCTAATAATCCTTAGTCGGCCGAGGAATCGTGTGCTTGAGGATGCCGAAATATAATGTCTGGAAAGTGCGGACCCAAATATTTTTTTAAGTTTTGTATGCGGACCTCTGGTAAAAATAGTTGAGTAGCCCTGGTCTATATTTATCTTGTTTAATATAATCAAATACACGGATATAATATAATGAGTGTGTTTCATGAGAGACTTTCATTTTCTCTACATTAGAGGTAAGATCAATTTCGGCCCGACCCAGGCCTGTTGGTATGAAACCCGACCCGAGCCTCAGTTACACAGGGGGTTCTTAAGCCTTGGAAATGTTTATTGGGGTTCCTCTCCTCCATGAAGGTTGAAAAATCTTTGCTCTAGACAAGAAACACTCAGAAGAGGTTCTGGTTGGCACACAAATGAACACAATACATTGTTTCCAAATTCCACAACCTGAGCATTTGATGATACATGAGATAGAAAAGACCACAGGTCATGGTTGTCACATCTCCCTGTACTTGAAGCAATGGTTTAGTACAAATTCGTTCTGGTGCAGTTTTCAAAATGAATATCGAACTGAATAGAACATTCATAAAAAAAAAGAAATACTAAGTTGAAATATTTGCACATCTGTGACAGACTTAGCATTTTAGAGTTTTATACCAATTGGGGTTAGACGAAAACAGATGAAATTGCCCTTGTCCCTGTAGGTGGAATTCTATAGCTAGTCTTACTTCTGGAGAAAAGCAGTGAATTGTTTTTTACTTTATATTTGTTATCATACTGTGGAATGAAATTTTTATTTTTGGTAATTTCCTCGCTGTTCAGATACCTTCAGAATTAATTATGGTAAATGGTAGTTCAACCACAAGCTATATGGTCGAGTTGTCTTGTCCTAGTCCATAAGCATTGGATGTAGTAAATACAAGTTCTTTGTGTATGTTAGGGGTGTGCAACCTGCAGCACACGTGCCCAATGCAGCCCTGAAGAAAAGATTGTGATGCCATATTTGAATGACATGTGGCCCATGAAACGAGTTTTTATTTTTGTAATTTCAGTCCCTTTACGTTGCGAACCCCATACCTGAGTCCAACAGCTGGCTTGTGCAAAGCAAACTACTCGAGTCATAAGATCAATAACCAAAATTTTTGTGCCTGCGACTACAGGAAAGCATGTATGTATATAAAGCCGCAGCCGCAACTACAAGGAAGACTACCGTATGTTAAATGAAGCTTTGGTAGCCGCAGTTTTACCCAGTTATTTCTATCTGGCCCTAAAGGTTGCGCACCCCTGAGGGAATGGCCGAATAAACAATCTAGTACCGGTTATTTAAATACATACTGAAATAGTATTTTTGAACATATTCCTAATGTTTAGTAAAGAATACGTCTCCTGGATATTTATTTGAATCAGATTGGACATTCCTGATACTCTATCATGTTGGCTTTATCCAGTAATTAAAATGTTTAAATTTGTCATACAATCAGATTCATTTATTAAACTATATTATTAAAAAGTCAACTGAAAGCACATTTGCTGAATTATTATTGATTTGAAGACAGAAATCTCCATACCAAGGACTTTGTTATTTTATACACAACTGAGCGCTCCAGAAGTATGTGTACCAATATGGAGGTAACTAATTTTATTTGCCTACTTTACATCAAGTTGTGCAGATGGACTGAAACCTATGAGCAGGGGGATATTCAGTTGGCTAACACAGACAGTCCTCGAACCTGTAATAGAACTAAAATAAGGAAAATTGGAATAAAATTATGGCCTGACCCTAACCTGGTGCACACACTACGGGAGTACTCACAATTGGACCCCATGCCACTCATAGTGTAATAAATTGGTTACTAAGATTGGTTTTATACATTTGGAGTGAAAAAATTTGCCGTCCCCCATATTGAAACAATTTCAGCATGATAATCAATTTTGCAAGATCACACATTCTTTATATCAAATTGGTTCGAAAAACACTTTAATGCATATCATATTATTTATAAAGTTGGAACATATAAAAAAATATTTTACTGGAATGATAACTCAGTGGTATTTCTGCGTCAGATCTCTTAATAATTGGTAAATACAGTATTGGCTTGGTCGCATAAATTGTTATAAAAATATTAACACATTCGTTTATATTATTATTAAATTTGTTTTATATAAAAATATATAAATATACTTGAGCACATAGCCAAATTAATTTTGATGTGCAAGAGAATACAAAGTCACAAATTTCCAAAAATAATTTTGCTGGAACTCTTGTATATTGTCAGATGCTTTATATTAGGTACTTCCGAAGTATGTGAACCAAGATGGCGGACACCGGAACATAGTTGTGTACCAAGGCCATAATTTTCCTTATTTTAGTATTACAAGTTCGGGGACTAGCCAAGTGACTCCCGTAGTAATTGTACTTGAAATTATGGCCTAACCCTAACCTGGTACACATACTACGTTCTGGTGTCGGCCATCTTGGTCCACATACTTCGGTAGTACCTTATATTATACAGAACTTGGCTTGGTTGAATGATTTTAAAAATACTATTGGATATTGATATATATACAGCGGTGGTTGGCAATTAGAAGCTCAGAATTGTATAGATCTATTTACAGCAGAAGCGAGGAACCTACGGAATAATTATACAATATATCATAAAAGTAATATATTAAAATGCATAAGAAACAACATTGAAACTTAGATTAATAATATATTTAGTTGTGGATGGAATTAGGACCCAGGGTAAAAATATTTATACAGATAATTTATTCAGCGTAATTCATGAGCTCAATAACACAGGTTTGGGTTGGACATTTTTTAAATCGAACCATACTTGATTAATTA